AGAGAGAGGAGTAGGAGGAGGAAAAGGTGGAGTAGGAGGGAGGAGTAGGAGGAGTAGAAGGTGAAGTAGAGGGAGGAGTAGGAGGAGGAGAAGGTGGAGTTAGAGGGAGGAGAAGGTGGAGTAGAAGGTGAAGTAGAGGGAGGAGTAGGAGGAGGAGAAGGTGGAGTAGAGGGAGGAGAAGGTGGAGTAGAAGGAGGAATAGGAGGAGTAGGATTGAATAAGAGGAGGAGGGAGGAGGAGGAGGAGGAGAAGGTGGAGTGGGAGGGAGGAATAGGAGGAGTGGAAGGTGAAGTAGAGGGAGGAGTAGGAGGAGGAGAAGGTGGAGTAGAGGGAGGAGAAGGTGGAGTAGAAGGAGGAATAGGAGGAGTAGGATTGAATAAGAGGAGGAGGGAGGAGTAGGAGGAGGAGAAGGTGGAGTAGGAGGAGGGGAAGGTGGAGTGGGAGGGAGGAATAGTAGGAGGGGAAGGTGAAGTAGAGGGAGGAGTAGGAGGAGGAGAAGGTGGAGTAGAGGAGAGGAGAAAGAGGAGGAGAAGGAGGAGGAGAGAGAAGTAGAAGGAGGAGAAGGTGGAGTAGGAGGAGGAGTAGGAGTAGGAGTAGGCAGGGGTGGGAAGGTAAGGGAGCAGACAGGTCTCTCTGGAGGCGTGGGTATGTAGCAGTGGAGGATACATCAGAAATCAGAATTAAGTAGAAATGCAATGGAGGCTGCAAATAGCACATGTACAACAACTGTTAACTGGCCCTATGCTTTCCCTAGAGAAAAATAATAAAAGGCTAACAAGCACATCTGTCTGTACAGGCCTCGAACGCCTCACTCCGTGGGTATCCCGCAGTGGCTAGTCCACTACATCTCCCACACCAGACTTTTGCTCGTAGAGACAGACGCTATCCCTGACTCTCTCTTTTTTTTTTTTCAACCTATCATAAAATATAACTCTTACTTACATCACAAATATACATTATCGCAATTTTATGTCTCGCAAAAGTGATAAAACTTATTTTACTCTTCACTGATAATGTATTAAAACTTACAAAATAGACAAATAACATTGTTTTTCTGCGAGATAAATGAAAAAGATAATGGAGGTTTTGTTAAGCTTTACATTTAGCTATACATTAATTTATCCTTTCTGGTTTCCAGTTTCAATGTACAATGTACATTGTAATAGAGCAGCAGGAAAAGCTAGCAGAATGCTTGGTTGTATAGGGAGAGGTATTAGCAGTAGGAAGAGGGAAGTGCTCATGCCATTGTACAGAACACTGGTGAGACCTCACTTGGAGTACTGTATACAGTACTGGAGACCATATCCTTAGAAGGACATGGATACCTTAGAGAAAGTTCAAAGAAGGGCTGCTAAACTGGTTCATTGATTGTAGGATAAAACTTACCAGGAAAGGTTAAAGGATCTTATCATGTATAGCCTAGTGGAAAGACGAGACAGGGGAAATATGATAAAAGCATTTAAATACACAAAGGGAATCAACACAGTTAAAGTGGAGTCTATATTTAAAAGAAGGAAAACTACAATAACAAGAGGACATAGTCTCAAAAATAGAGGGACAAAGGTTTAAATAAAAATACTATCAGGAAGTATTACATTACTGAGAGGGTAGTGGATGCATGGAATAGCCTTCCAGCTGAAGTGATAGAGGTTAACACAGTAAAGGAGTGTTTAAGCATGCGTGGGATAGGCATAAGGCTAAGCACTTGCTGCTAGTAACAGATCTAGAATCAATACACTATAATGCCCAAAGTCTCGACTTCTATGCATATATAATAATAAAATATCTGGGCTTACATTAAAAAAAAATATGTTAGTCAGTCTTTAATCTTGGTGGTTAACATTATCCAATAAAGACAGATTGGAACACACTCCCCCCTTATCCATTTGTTAGTAGTTAGGCTCATAATGTTTTCTGGTTCTTTTCAATTAGATCAAAACATCTTGAGACCAATCTTTAATTGTATTACCATTTGTTCAAGAAATCTTTGTTTATTAGAAATTTTTTAGTAACCCTTCTTCTAGCATGTTATCAATTTTTTGTACACAAAGTTAAAACATATTGTTACTTAACACGTGAATCGGTATATATATATCCTTTCTACATATTAACCATCACTTGTCACAGACACTTTTCTGATATAGGGAAACATTAG